CAGGTCACCGAAGATGTTGAGACAGCTGAAGAAAAAACAAAAAGATTTGCAACTGCCTGAACACAGAATGATCCATGATGAGCCCACACGCTGGGATTCAGCTTATGAAATGGTGGAGAGATTTCTAGAACAGCAGCAAGCTGTCTGTTCAGTTCTAGCTGATGATTGGAAGAAATGGCACCTCATGCCCAAAGATTCAGATATTACAGTTCTTGAGACTGTAAAAGAGGTATTGAGCCCTGTCAGCTCTTTCACGGATGCCCTTAGTGGTGAAAAACGCACCACTCTCTCTGCAGTCCTGCCTCTGTGTTGGAAGATCTTCTCTACTTTGACAGTTGAGGAAGGTGACAGCAATCTAAAATGTCAACTTAAAGACAACATCAGAGAAGATCTCAGACAGAGATATGAGGGCACACATCTGCAGCTGATATTAAACATAGCCACATTTCTTGACCCAAGGTTCAAGGACAGTTTTGTAACCCTAAGAGAGGAGGTTAAACAGAATCTTACGGTCAGTGTCAATTTGCAAGAAGCAGGGAGCCAAAGTCAGCAAACATCACCTCCAGATGACAAGCGGCAACCAGCAAAAAAAAAAAACTAAATCAGATCTGAAGAGACTGTTAACAAGCAGTCGGGGGGGGAAAAAGTGTGAACATGGAGAGGGTCCATCATCCAGAGAAGAAGATGAGGGTGCAGAAACAGAACTCAAAAATGAGTTCTCAGTATATGAAAAGATGCCTGAAATCAGTGCAGAAGAGGACCCACTTACATGGTGGAGGACACATGAGACAACCTTACCTCACCTGCAGTTTGTTAAGAAGTATCTGTGCATCTCTGCTTCAAGTTCAGCTTCAGAGCGTGTATTTAGTACATCAGGGCTCATTTGCAGTGCAAGAAGGGCATGACTTGGAGAGGAACACATGGACTTGCTGGTTTTCCTAGCTCAAAATCTGAAAGTTGCAAAACAACTTTAGGATATAGTAATGGGTGTCAATCTCACTCTACTCACTGTAGAGAAAATCTGCATATAATTGCAGTAATGGATTCTATTTATTGTGTTTACCAATTTGTTACTTGATGCATAAGATTGCACTGATTTTGTTTTTGCTTGAAGTTTAAGTATCTTTTGGTGATGTTGTTTGGATTTGATTTTACTTGGAAATACAAAAGATTGCACTTTTTTTTTTTTTACTTGCACTTTATTGGTTTTTGAATGTATGGTAATCTGAGAGGATTTTGAACACTACCTCAACACATTTTTGTTCATGTAAAATATACCTCATTGTCATGTTCTAGACTTGTTATATTTATCTTTGAATAAAAATTTTTTACCCCCTTAATATTGTGGCAGTTTTTTCTCCGTGGTATCGAAAATGGTACAGAGTATCGATATTTTTCAAGGTATTGTATCGAAGTTAGAAATTCCAGTATTGTGACATTAGTGCACAGTGACCTGTAACGCCGTCCAGAGGGGAGGAGTTCAAACAGATTGTATCCGGGGTGTGAGGGGTCTGCAGTGATCCTCTCTGCCCTCCTTTTGGCCCGTGCGGTGTATAGGTCCTCCATGGAGGGCAGGTTCACACTAGTGACCTTTTTTGCAGTCCTGTTTGGTTGCTGATCCAAACCAGACAGTGATGCAGGTGCAGAGAACAGACTCAGGGGCCAGGTCAAACTTGCTGAGCTGGCGCAGGAAGCGCATCCGCTGCTGTGCCTTCTTGGTGATGGTCCTGATGTTGGACGTCCACTTCAGGTCTTGGGAGATAGTGGAGCCCAGGAACTTGTAGCACTTTACTACTGATACAATGTTGCCAAGTATGGTAAGTGGGGGCAAGGTGGGAGGGCTCTTCTTGAAGTCCACAGTCATCTCCACTGTTTTGATCATTTTAAGCTCCAGATTGTTGCAGCTAGACACCGGACCAGCTGCTCAACCCGCCGTCTGTAGGCTGACTCGTCATCATCTCGGATGAGACCAATGACTGTTGTCATCTGCAAACTTTAGGAGCATGACAGGGGTCCTTC